GGTCTTTCCCGGAGGCATGTCGAAGTACACAGTAGTTTCATCAACATTTAAGATGTTGCTGTGGTCGTAATGCCCATACCGTGCCCAAAACGAAGCAGCATAGCCGAGCCAGACCTCGTCCAGAACTTGCTGCGTCATCTTGCTCTTGCATGGGGTTCGATGGTGGAACCTGTGACGATGGGCAAATCGAAGCAGCAAACACCGAAAGGATTGGAAAGCAACAGTCTCGTTTTTTTGGTGGACAGGTATTCGACGAGCCATGCGTTGTGGGTTCACTTGACCCAGTTCATCATGTGATACACCCGAACGTAGCGCTCTTCCTCTCGACGACCCCGCATGAAGTCCAACAATTCCCTACCAAAGGGAATGAGCTCCTTGTGTCCTTGGCCCCCTGTGGTAGCGAGTCGGTTGTGCCGTTTGCTCGCCATGATTTTGGCCTCCCTTGAGCGCCACGCTTGCCACGTTGAGAATGGCAGTTGATTATCGCGGCAAAACTGGCGCTCGCTGGCCGGACTTGCTACTTGGAACATGGCTAGTAAAGCTTTTCGTTGTCCGTTGGTGTACCGCCGTCGTACTTCTTTGCGTTGTTCCATACTCGTACTTTGGAAAATGAAACGCATGCGTTCAAATTTTTGAAACTGGCCAATCATAGACTAGCTTTGGGGTTGCGATTGGTCCATCAATTAGCTTGGGTATTTGTCCAATCATGTGGGTCTAATTTATATAACCAGAAACGTTATTTATTATATTTTTGAACAGTTGCACTGACCCGATTTGACTGCAAAGCACTGTACTCCGCACAAAAATTGTTCTGTAGTACTGAGTACAGATTTTTTGGGTATTTCCCAGGATCGTCCAACCAAGGCCAAAATTTCTCATGATCGTCCAAGTTGAACTTTGTCGAAATAATTTTATTCCAAATCGTCCAAGTAGTTTTCATTGGCTAAAAATACTTGGTTAAAAAAGCTATGACGTGTTTTCCATTGCCATTCCAGAATTCCACAGGCCAGAACGCAGGCATGGACCAAGCACATGCTGGAACATCGGTGAGCACGATCATCCTTCCATAACGTTAACCTAACGGTGTGCTCGAGTTCTGTCGTAGCTGTGCAGTCAGCCCACGGCCGACCCGCCGCAGATTTGCCGACCCGCCACGAAACGAATCAATCACCATGGTAAGAATTGGAGCTAGTGTTGTGGTGGTACTGTATGTATGTGATGTATGGTGTCATAACCACTTTTTAGCTGGCGAATCTGGTGGATTATGTAGGTCTGTGCTGCTATTATGCAGGACTGTGCTGCACGACTGGAAGGCCAGAGCGACGACACTCAAGAAATCGATGTTGTGGCGCAATGGAAGCGCGCCTGCTTGCAGGAGGTCTGGGTTCAATTCCCAGCAACGTCAATCCTACCATGCACGCGAAAACACGACGCAAGGTAGGTGCATAGAGTAAGCGGTACCGTACCGGTACCTGTTGATCCTTCGCGAATGCCATTTATGTCTGAATGTGTTGAATCCAATGCGATGCGCGTTAAATGTATTGTTGTTTTGCTGCTTGATTATTGGATTTATTCACCTTCATTACAGTTCTACTATTGCATCCAACTCGTCTACTTGCTCATCTGCGTTCTCTGCGTG